TCAATGAGTTAATTCTCCTTGATGCTGAACCAAATGGGATTGTAGATTTAGAGAATGAACAAGAAATGGGCTGTGTCTAATGAGATGTCCTAAGAAATAGCCATGCTACACAGACTATACATGAGATCCACACATGCTTCGGCCAGATGTGATTTTGGCCCATCATCTCCACAGCTGGTATTTTCTTAGTAGTTTATAAATACATCCTATATTCTTTCTTGTCCATCTTCCCCCACTTACATTCTGAAGTCAAGTTTATAATGAAAATAATTTACCACATGGCGTTGGGTCATTAAATCCCCTCATCTACAGCAAAGTTTTCCTGTCAATAAAAGCTAATTAAACATATTGTGATGATATTGTTTCTTTTCAAATAGCTAATCTTTCTACTTTCTACTTTTTGAATGTACCTGCTGGATAATTTTTATGCCAATCCATAACTTCACTTGAGAGCTAACCTGGGAGTATAGAAAAGGCAGAAGAAATTTTCCCCTTCTTGTCTATCAGCACTAATCCTCTTAAAAGCACCCGTTCAATCAAGGGATCCAACAGAAGCTCAATTTCCTCAGCAGATGTAACAGTGAAAGGTACAGTATAAAAGGGTAACCACTGAGAGTGAGAAAGGAAAAAAAACAGAGTGAACTGAGGAGACACCCCCAGCCCAGGAACACACAGTGCCACACGTCTTTACTCGGTCAGACATATGCACGTATCTCTGTCAAGACTGAAAAGCCAAGGAAATGTCAGGCTTTAGCTTTCAGCTGGCAGGGACATGTACTGGAAATATTTGATTAAAGAGTGACTGAAACTCAGTCAGAGCTTTAACACTAAGCAGAGAGGCAGCAACGGCTAGAGAAAACCGACCGTGATTTTCTCCACTGGGTTCCACCAGCCCTGACAACAGTGACAGCTAAGTTTTTAAAAATAGTGTGATGGATTCTGATGACTCTGGAACACTTTATGTTAAAAATAAAATAGTAGATGCATCCCCTAAGAAAAATGGCTGGGGAAACACATCATCAGAATGTTACAGATACTGCCCATGGATTGCCCAAAGAAAACAGAACCAATTTTCTGAGAAGATTGAATAGAAATATTGAATGGACCCAACTTCATTTAATACCCACAGAGTTCATGTGAAATGCAATTAAGAAGCCTGGGGATGGAGAATAAGAAAAGATACGAGCCACAAAATGGTCCTTTACAGCTTCCTTGGAAGGCCATAACCCACTCTTTATAAACATGATGTGAAGCACAGAATTGAAATGTGTTTTCAAAGATTTGGCTCCACTCCAGAGGTCTTTCTTTAATGCTGTTTGCAAAATTTATGCTAAAGGCAGATTAATGGACACTGTTAGAGAACAGGTATTTCCCTTCTTATTCATAGAGAAGAGTTTTTTTATTTTGGTCCATTCGCTAAGCAAACTTAAGCTTGAGTTTGGGCTGTAAATTCTCAGTTCTATATGTAACAGCATTGTTTATTTAGAAACAATGAAGCTTCTGATTCTAAATAAAAAAATCTCAGGGTCAAGACTTTTCTCATTTCCAAGGCCTTTTCCAGATTTAATAGAACTTTCACCTCCGTAATTCTAAGCCAATAGGTTTAATCTTTCTATGCTGTAAAGAACACTTTTCGTCACCTTTTCTCCCTGGAATGCTGAGGTCAGTATACTGATTGAGAAACAGGGTCTATAGTCAAACTACCTGAGTTTGAATTCTGGCTCTTTTACTCACCAGTGTTGAGACTTCAGGCAAGTTCTTCATCCCTCTAAACCTCGATTACCCATCTGTAAAATGAGGATAATAACAGTTCCTACCTTGTAGGGATGTGGTGAAGAGTGAATGAGATGATATGTGTAAAACATATAGCACAGTGCTTAGTATACAGAAGGAAAAATCAGTACTATCTTGCAGACGGTTAGGATACCTACACCTGAGGGCTTTGTGCTATTCAGGCTGAACACATAATGTCCCTAACCCATTTCTCCATGTCCTAATTCTTTTTCCATTTCCTTCCTCCTAGCTCTCTAGGCCTTCCCCAGGTTCCTCACATTTGTTAAGAGGTCTTCCACTAATGAGCAAGATGATTCTGGTCAATGACAATTTTTTTAAAGAATTACCTGCTTTAAGGGGCGCCTGGGTGGCTCAGTCAGTTAAGCGTCTGCCTTCGGCTCAGGTCATGATCCCAGAGTCCTGGGATTGAGCCCCGCGTTGGGCTCCCTGCTCAGCGGGAAGCCTGCTTCTTCCTCTTCCACTCCCCCTGCTTGTGTTCCCTCTCTCACTGTTTCTCTCTCTCTCTCTGTCAAATAAATAAATAAAATCTTTAAAAAAAATAATTACCTACTTTAAGAAAAAAAAAGAATTACCTGCTTTATTCTGTTTTAACACATTAAGCATTTCTTCACTTGAGTTCATTGAGGATTCATACCCCAGAGATCTTAACAGAAAATGAGAGAATGGGTACAAAAGACAGAAAATGGACTAGTTGGGTAGCTGAAGGGGTAGAGACAAAACCAAAGAGGAAAGACACAGACAGACTTATGAAAGCCCATGAACTTCTAGGTGATTTATCTGCTTTTAACCACAAGAACAGAATTTCCCAACATTGTTCCAACTGGAGCATTGGTCCCCTGAGATGATCAGTAAACACATGGTTTCACTGACGGTCAAAGCAGTTTGTCCAGAATGTTTCAAACCACATTTTTAGCTTGGAGTCTCAAAGCACATTAACATATGAAGGATTCTGAGAAGGCCTACAGTAAAGAAACCTGCTTTATTTTGTTTATCCCATAATACTGATCAATATATAACACGGGTCAATAACGGTTGGAGAATCCTTCCACTACCATTATTTTAGAGCTGAGAAACAGAAATTCCCATGAAGAACAAATTTTGGGGAGCTAGTGAACCATGATAAAACTGATGGAATGTAAAGGGGACTAATGTTTGGTGAATGCCTATTACATGTGCCAGAAATGGTGCTAACTGCTTTAAAAATAATTGCTTTTTCCTGATAAGGTTAAGGTAATAGTTTTTAAGTGGGAGGGATATTTACAGTGCTTTATGAAAGAATGTCATGGCACATTTTAGCTGTCTTTAAGTGGGGGCCTAATAGCTCTTTTAAAAATGAAGGATCTTGAGAAATCATGTAGCCCATATTCATGCCTATTGATTTTGCACTCACTGAGAAATTTGGAGTGTCAAAGTTCATAAATACTGGAAGTAAAACCAATGAATCACTAAAGTAGTAATTAGTAAAAGTTTATTGTGCACACACCAAAAAGACAGTTTGCACACCGGAGTACTCACCCAAAACGTGGAACAAGGCTCAGGGGCATATTATTATAAAGCAGCTTATGTAGTGAGGAAGCAGTGACTGCCTCCTCTTCAAAATTATTGGTTATAAGATTAGAATCTTCTTAAATGATAGGGAATTGGTCAGTGCTTACCTCATAACAACCTTGGGAAAGGTTCAAGGTTTGCTTATAATTTCCAGAGGCATAAACAAGAAATGACCCAGGTCAAGTCAGTCTCACAAAATAAGCTAAATTAAGCTTATTTGTATGACTAAATTGGTTTTGTCTGCCCAGGCAGTTTTTAGGGCTGGTCTCCAATTGTTTTTGATTTTAACAACGCTCCCCCCACTTTTGGTCATTCTCTCAGAAGGCTGAGAGTATGATCAGCCACGATAGTGCTATTCCCCATTACCACCACTGATGTAGTTAAGCTGAAGAATCACACATTCACCGTTTCCATTAGTTGAGTCATCAGGATGTGTTTATAGGACCAGCATATATTTCATACAGTTGATAATGTAAGTATATATGAAAGTGATGTAAAAGAGCAGTTTTATAGTGTTAAAGGAAAGAACTTCATTTTATTCTTTCTTTGTATTCTGCAAGCCATCTATCCTAGTATGGTGCCAGGTGCATAGCATTTAGTATGTCTTCTGAAATGAATGAATGGAAATAGTAGTGGTAAATTGCACTAAAATTATACTTATTTTGCACAGTATAATATAACAAATGTAACTTAATAACAAGACATTTTGCCCTGGGGAACAAGCCAGGATGGAGTCAGACTGTAATTTTTGAAATTTGGCGCTAAATTTCTGATGCTGTAACAAACAGCCTATGAGTACCACTCAGTCTCAGCTGAGATGGGTACCAGAAAATTCACTCACAAGACTGCCGTGTTAGAGATAAGCATTATTTTATGAAGCTGAATCTAGCTCCAGTTCTTTTGCAAGAAATTTAAATTTCCCTTTAAATAAATTGTTAATATGTTCAGTTTACTCCAACTTTTATTTTCTTTCTTCTCTACTTACTGTTTTTCTTCTTCATGTAACAGAAAGTAAAAAGCTACCTCTTTTCTTTTCCTGAAATGTTTATATACCACTACGAATGAAGCATTGAGAGGTGAGACTCAGGTCAGGAAGGAGGGAATACTGCACAATAACAGCTATTAATTTTGTGGAGAATAACAGATCTTAATTTCAATTCTAAGTGTAGGCACATACAAAAACTGCAACCATATAATATGAGATTTCCCTTCCTTTCTTGTACACATTTGCCCACATTGGCAATAAGACTGAATTGTGGGATATAGACTTCTTATATTTAAATGAATGAAAACAGGTCGCAATGAGTTAGAGAATGAAACATGCTGTTGACTATTTTGGGGGTATGTTTTCAGACAGCATTAATGGAAGGGGAAGTGACTTGTGTTCAGGACAACCCGACACTCCTTCCGTCACACACCCCAACCACTGTCTCCTTTCCTGCTATCATCCTGCTCCCTTTCTAGCCTCTTTCCTTTGTCTTTTTTTTTTATTTATTTACATCTTAATACTCAAACCTGGAATGTAGCATTTACTCCATTATGATTTGAAAATATAGTGACAGGTTTCTGACACATTCAACACATCGAAATGTTCTTTGAGTCTTACAGAGTTTACAAAGGGGAGGATGTGTAAAATAAACTGGAGTGATCTCTTGTAGGAATGGAATTCTGCTGTTGAGAAGCTGGAGAGTGATGCACTTGGGATTCTGCTGTCTAAGGGCTACGTGGAGAAAGAGCATCTACAGCTCTCTAACCAGAAACTGCATCAGCTTCAAGGAGAATGTGATCGGCTCATGGTGGAAAGGAAAACTTGGTTAAAAAAGGCAAATGTTTTTTTTAACAGCGCTAATAAGGTCAGTGTGAGGTCACGTTGGTAATTTTAGGTCATCAGGGCAGACCAGTAAGAGACTCATTACTTCAGTAGGCTGGAGCACATCACAGAAGTCTAGATTCTATGTAAAGTTTCAAAATTAATAGCAACCAAAATGAGCTTTTAAAATGTATTCCTATCATGGCCATTATTTGGTTCTCAAAACGAGGAGACTCTATGCTTTGACATGTAAAAAAAAAAAAATCCCATGAGAGTTTCACTGTAGAGCTGTCATTGATCTGTTTGAAGGGAACACTTGTGCCAACATTGCAGTGTTTCTCATGGAGTAAGGGAAATATCATAAAATATATCAAGATGCAAAGAACGCCTTGAAACCTTTACCAAAAAATATTTCCCTTTGAAAAATTCTCTTTCATTTATCAGGTAAAGATACATGAATATTGCAAGCCTTCTGCATGCAAACCACAAGGTTAGAAGCAGAGCCTTGACCTGACTACCCTGCCTTGGTCTTGCCTTTTCAAGTCAGCCAAGGGGAAATCTTGCTTTGGACTATCTCCAGGTCTTGAGTTGGAGAAAGGCTCTGCTTCTCCTGGTTGACTCATTTAATTTGATTGTAGCAGGTGGCTCTTAGTGAGTGGTAATGTCTACATGTCCATCTCACTTGTATATCTGAAGCTGGTGATATCATTTGAAAATTTCTTCTACTTTTCCCAATCTAATATATACCTTCAAACTGCCCTGCTGGAATTGTTTACATACCTTAAATATCACTGATGTTTTTGAAACTGGACAATGTGACATGAAATGAGTGGGTAAGCCCCAGAAGGTAGGTATATTGTGATTTAAAGTCATGTTATCAACAATCTGAATACAGTGTCCTGGTATATATCAAAACAGTTCCTTAATTTTGAACTTCCTTACTGATAGGAAACTTGAAAAGGATGAATACTAGAATTCCAAAATAGAGGTGCTAAAATTACAGTAAAAAGAGTATTAAGGAAATATTTGGCAATATTATTTGTTTGGGATTTCTTTGTTTTAAGAGAAGAAACAGAGCATGTTACTGGAGCTGTTGAACTAAGTAAATGGTAGGGTGGTAGGTAAGTTCTTCTTCAACAGTCCTGTTTTCGAATAAGAGACTTTCTAACGTACATTACACCCTCATTCTACAAAATGAGTGGGTCATCTGTCAGTCAGTTAATGCCATTTCGAGGGGGACCATTATAGAACATGTTGCTATGATAAAGCAACACTTCTAGAACAAACCCTATAGTCTCAGCCCTGCAAAATGTAGTTTCCCTTTCTCCTTAATTCTTACTCTCTTGCTCTTGTTTTCTCTGTTCTCATTATCTGGTAACTTCCCAGAGAGACTTTCTTCTTACATTATTTCTGGGCCTTGAGGGAAAAAGAATGACATTTCTTGTAATAGTAACAGTGTAAAAAAAAAAAAAAGAATGGAATGGTTACTTTCTCAAATTCATATAGCAATTCAGGTTGAATCCTAAGAAATTATACTTCTTAACCCCCAAGACTTGACTTCTAGATTCCCTGTTTCATCATTTGAAATGCCGTGGCATTTAAATTATAACTAGTTCCGTTGGGATTTATCCATCCTATATTATCTGCACCATAGCATTCTCTATAGCCAAGTGGCACTTAGAAAGGTATATATTTGCTCTCCCTTTTCAAAGCATCAAGGAAGTAATTTTTAACTCCAAATTTAAGAATCCATGTGAAAGGTGATAGAACTTTTAGCTCAGCAAAAATAGAAACCAGAGTGGGGAAAGTGGATATTTAATCAGGATTTTTAAAATGAAATATTTATCATATTATGAAGAAGCAATAAATGATGAAACAATGTAGTGGGTAAATCCATTTAAATTAAAGAAGGAAACTCTTTTTTAAGACTTGTAAATGGTATTTTTTTATTTATATTGTGGCATCTCCACATTTTACAAAATTCTCACCATTTTGCCCAACTTTTGGCATAACACTTATAAGTAACCCTGGTTAAAACAAAGAGCTGGATTTAAACATTAATATAATTTAAAAATCCCTTAAGATTTTTTTTCTAGCCTGAAAATTCCATTTACACTAGGTAAGGGGTATTCTCAATTTATATCCTTTCTGAAGCACTGAATTTTCCTTTTAAAAATTCACTTTACTATACCTTGAGTGCACTGGATTTTTCTAATTGTGAGCATCCCTATCCCTAGATGAAGTCATGTTGTCAAGAACTATGAAGCATCTGAAATTGTACCCAAATTTCAAACTAACATGCTAATTTACCATAGTTTGGTTGCTCACAAAAGACAGATGACTTCTGTGCCAGTTTTGAAAGACTTTATTACAAAAACAATAACCGAAATGTCAACATGTCATATTATTTTCCCAAGTCCCAGTTCCGGGGGTGGGGGGAGATGCAGATGGGCCCCTCTGGGTGACTGCACATGCAACAGGTGGTGATCCAGGAGGGGAACCCTAAGCTTGGGGCATCTTCTGTTTGATGGCAAACAATAATCCAGCCTGCTGTTTGTCTCAGAAGGACAAATTTCCTCAGCCCTGAAGGTTGCTGGCTACAAACCCAACACTGAGAAATGGTCCAAATAAAGAGGGGTCAGTGGTAGGCATTCTTGGCACACCAGTAATGATGGGCAGGAGCACTAATGACTCTTCCAAAATATATAGCACCGTGAGAGAAAGAGGAAGGCAGTGCTTTAAAAAACGATATTTGCTTTGAAAACCAATTCCATTCTTGATAAGTGAATTATTTGCTCAGCAAACAACCTCTTACTCCAAATTTGTTAAAGCTAGGTCAATATTCTCCTTCAATATTTGTGCCAAAAACCACTGTGAGAAAATGTGCTAGTGTCATGGGTAATATATGAATGACTGAATGTCACAGCTTGAGTATTTGCTCAGTAAAAAGTGAAGTGTATGATTTTAATAATACACCTTTCACTTTTTAAAAATTTTGTAAAATAAAAAGGATGTCATAATCTCATCTTCAGAATGGGCTACTTTTAATGCCTCCATATCACATATATTTCTTTTTTTAATCTGGATTTTTGTCATATGTTGCTGGTATTTTTGTTGCAAGCATCTGGAAATTCTCCCTTCTCCCCCCTTTCCCTTCATTTTAATTAATTCCCCTCTCTTTATCAATTTTAGATATGGATATTCTTATTTACTAGAAAAAAAAGTCATAATAGTTTCTTATAGTGAAGTCTCTAAGCAGTGTGGTGAATAATTACCCTTCTTTAGGGATTAATTCCTTTAGTATATTTTTACTGAACAATTACTGTGTGTCAGGTACTGTTCTAAATGTTGGGGATACAGCAGAGATCAAAACATACAAAAAAATCTAGAATATATTTTCAATTTGTGAAATTCAATAAAATATAATTAGCACCTAATAATCCACATTGACAAGACTACCCCACTGCCTTTGCTCTTTGGATTCAGGAGTGAAATTGATTACCTTTTAATCCTGCTAGGGGTTGTTGATAACCCAAGGCTCAAGAGTCTGTGTCTTTTTTTTTTATGTTATGTTAATCACCATACATTACATCATTAGTTTTTGATGTAGTGTTCCATGATTCATTGTTTGCATATAACACCCAGTGCTCCATGAAGTACGTGCCCTCTTTAATACCCATCACCAGAGTCTGTTTCTTACTCAAAGTGTCTATAGCCTTCGCCTTGAGGTATGGCAGTTTGTACCTGGAGTGAACAGTAGGCGGCGATGTTAGCACACAAGACCTCAGAAGGTTGCTAAGGAAGCTGTCATAAACCAGCCACTGGATTCAAGTGGAGATTGAGCCATGGAACTTAAGAACCTGAGATACTTGTTTTCCGTTTTAGAGTTATCTACTGTGTTGGCGAATTTACTGTTAAGTCACTTAGCAACAAATATAAGAAGGGTTGATTGTCAATATGGGATGATAGCTGATTGGAGAAGAGTTTCTCTAATTACCAGATGGATGTTGCTAAGAGTTACTAGGACATGGCATGAAATATGAACATAGCACATATTATAGTAACTCATCTGGATCCCCCTCAACTTTTCATCTTTTATGATTATAGATGATCTTATTTACTATATTTCTAGCAAGTTCACAAGAAAGGAGTTGGTTAAGGTATGCCAATCACCCAAAAAGTATTTATAATTGTTTAGAGAATGTGATCTGAATCAAACAGAGATAAATATACATGTTATACAATATACAGTGTGAGCCTGTATTTATATGATTGAACCTGAAGCTGTAAAACATGGCTGATTGGTCATAAAGTCTCATATTCCATGCTTCCCTTTCTCAGGCACATGATTTCTTTGTGGAAAGCAAGCTGTGAAGACTGAGGCCAAATCTACATGGTGTGGTTCTTGGGTGGTCAGCCTAAACGCAAAAATGGAAAAAAAGCTGGGACAGCTAGAGCAACACAGCAAAAGCAGTTTGAAATGTAATTGTCATAGGTTCTCCTGCTTCTGCCATCACTGCTGAAAGTGTCATGTCCTCTAAAAAGACACTGTTGTTTTTTCAATATATGTACAGCAATGCAAACCTGTAATGCCTCCAGCAACATAATTGTTTCAGATGAAAGCAAAATAATTAAGGATGGAATTTGGTACATTTTTTTTCATTTATATATAAGCTATTCTCCCATTTTCAAAATAGATACATTTTAGCCCAGATGTGGGAAACAATGAAGTAAAATGGCCCAGTTGTTCAGATTGAAGAATAAAGAAACCTGTCCAAGTAGAGGACCTAAAAAATATCATCCAGAAGGAATTTAAGATGATATAAATGAATTCATGAAATTAAGCTAATTGTCATTAGACATCACTTTCCTTGATGTTTCCAGTTTTATAATTCTTAGGCAGACTGTCTCAGATTTCTCCTTTCCAGAACAACTTTCCTTTCTCTTACAAAGAACTAAAGCATCTTTTTTTTTGAACTCCCTCCATTCTTCTACATTTCCATTCGGCTAATGTGTTGTATATCTATTTTCATTCATCATATA